ATTCTTAAATAATTATCTTCTACACCACACAAGTAATATACTAAAGAATTAATACAAGGTGTTAACATTCATACACCACACCCACAATGTTCCATCTGGTTAATCATTAAGCCTGTTCTTGCATATATCTTGATTGACACATACCTTTATATTTATGTTTAAACTCGCCAATTCTAATACTATTTTTTATGTCCGCACTTAAATTATTCCATAGTTTTACCCCACTTATGGAAATACAAAATCTTTTTTTGGTTGTACGTATAGCATGAATTTTTAAATTTAACTGACCCCTTAAATTGTATCCCCCTTCCCTTTCATTAAATAGTTTTTGAATTCCACCAGGTAATAAATTGTTCCTGGCTTTATACAAAAACACAGCAGTCTTATATCCCACTAAATCAAAAAATTTTAACAATTTAGACTGTATGAAAGCTACATTGGTGTGATCCCTATACCCCATCTTATGCACAATTCTTATCACTCTTTTTTGTAATATATACAATGGTTGAAGTGAGCTTATGTATGTATTTCCCCAGTTTTCAACACCATATTCAAAGTATGGTAAAATCAATGAAGAATACAAAACGTGTAGTGCTTTCCCGTCCAAAATATATCTAACCCTTGCCAATATCGATATATTCTTTGCTATTTTGTGCTGTTTGTGAAACCCAGATGTTTTATACTTAAATGGTGAGGGGCAGTTTGACCTTATGTTTGGAACGCCACGTGAACACAGCGTAAAAAAAACACAAAGTGAAATTAAAACAGGAGTGGTAGGTAGGATATCTGTGTAAAGTAACACTTTGTCCTCTGTGTATTTTATTGAGGAAAATTCAGGTTTGCTGACTAATTTATTTCGGATGTGTAGGATCATGTGCAGGCAGTGAATGACAGAGGAAAACAGTGTCGTCTTCCTCAGCAGTTGCTGTTGCTTTTCTGTCTTCCACTGGGTGGCGCTGTTTGCACAGTATTCAAACAAACCCTTGATTTGTTTTGTTTGTCCTGGCCGAGCAGGTTCTTCAGCTGACTTCAGCTTTAGTGTATTTACCTAAAGAATGACTCAGTTCATTTAAAAAGTTGCTCATAAATAAGCATGCTGGGCATTTGGGTTCAACAAACAGTAAAAAAAAGAAAAGGTCGGTAATGGCCAAAGATGTCGATCGGTTCGACCTAAAACCATACTGGCAATCAGAGAGGATTTTATGTCTATCAATAAATGTGTCTAATCTGTTATTAAAGAGTTTTTCCAAGATTTTTGAAAACTGTAACAGAGAAACTGGTCTATAATTTGTGAAGTTGTGCTTATCCCCAGATTTATACAGTGGAATAACCTTTGCTATTTTCATATTATTGGGGAACTGCACAACTCGAAACGACATGTTAAAAACATGGGTTAGTGGTTTGCATATCCCCTCAATTGCCCATTTAACCATTGTCATAGTGATACCATCACTATCACCAGATGATTTATTACCACATCTGTTCACTATATCTATAATTTCCTTTTCAACTATGGGCTTCAAAAACATAGAACTCATATTCCTTTCGATTGTATTGTTATTTATAGTGACGGATGTATCATCTGTACAAATGCTACTTGCTAAACCAGGACCAATTCAATGAATATATGCATTATTATTAAATAGTAAATTTGAACTTTACCTTGATATTCCTGCTTTTACATTTCATGTAGAGTTAATCAGAAAAGTACAAACATTTTTAGTCATTCAGAACTGGAATGAACAGAGCATCTGATTTTTATATCATAGACCAGAGACTTTGTTTTTTTCTAAACATGTGTAAATGGATGAACTAACACCATAAGAGATGTACTGTATATATGGAATCAGTTATAATAGCACATCTTCAGACCAGAGTCATACACCTGTTTGTCTTTGCTGCTCTGAGTTCTACTTTGATCGGCAGGGCTGTGCAGAGTCACTATGTCAGAGTCATTATTGTGACTAATGAGATGGGGAGAAGGTCAGGGCACCTCATAATGTGTATTAATAAAATCACTTTATACTGGCTGCACTTTGATGGAGACCTTGTGTCAAAAAGTGACAAAAAGGCAAGTCATGTATTGCTTACAAATACAGGAAGCATTCGCAGGTGTAAATCCAGCCTTTAAGAGAGCCCCAGCATCAGCATAATTCACAATGCAGTGTGATCACCCTATTACCAAGTGTGAAGAAGCAGAGACATCATTTCTACATGACATTATCTGGTGTATTTCATAAAAATACCTTCCTGAGGCATCCCTTTCTCTCATCATCATAAGTTAAACTTCATAGAGTTTAATAATAGATCATGTTCTGCTTTCCCCTCAAAGAAGTTAATTCCCCTTATACCACCCTTGTTTCATCATGTATCTGTCACAGACTGCAGTGCAGTACTAAGCATAGACAGTTTCAATTTTTATGTAGTTCTCTTCATTGTACAATGCATTAGCAGTGTCATTGTCCTGAACTATTCTCTTAGGCTCTGTGCTTTGGCACTGCAGTGTTTGCAGCCAATGCATTGAAAATTTAGGCCAGTCTATTTTATATCTGCATCACATATCCATAATTCACCTGTCATCACTCCTGCATTATACAGACTAATAAGGAGGTGGTGCAAAGAGAGAAATGGGCTGCATATATCACCGTTGAACCAAATTAAACTTTTGCCTTTGTGCTAACTGTGTCTTCTCATTATTTTGTGCTATACTGTCTTCAAATGGAAGGTAATTTTACTATTTTAATTCTAAAAACTAACCATGGGCTGAAATTTTCCCAAAACTATTGTTGTATTTACTTATATTCTATACAGTTTATATTATGTACACCGCAGCAGGATGCATAACCTGTTCTGCTGTCTAAACTGCAATGCAAAGCATCACACCAGCATATTAATAACCCCATGTCTTCCACCCCTTAGTTTGTTTGTGTGTTCTTCAGTGTGGGAGAGAGTGAGGCATCGCTGGCCTTTTGTTGGGAACTGGTTAAAACTGCTGTGTCTCCGGCCTCCCCTCCTCCAACTCTCTGCTGTACAAGAAACATTTCTACTTATTGCACACACTATCACACAGACCTCTGTCAGACTTTTGAACATTTCTAACTAAAATATAGCTGAACCCCACGCAGAAGCCATTCTGGTATAAATTTGTATGTGATGGTGGTCTTAAGTGATCTTAATGCACATGCTTTTTCATAAACTGTGGAGGCTCCAAGATAGTTAAAATTTCCACAAGCTTTCAGGAAATGGTAACAGACACTCATTATTAAGGGCAAGTAGGGTGCAGCTCTGCAAGCGTCCCTCAGTGAAATCACTTTAGTACTCCTTAACTAATGCACTAACATTAGAACCTCCGTACACTCTGTTACCTCACTGTAATTCCTTCTCAGCCATGCAAACATCCTCAGTTTCATTTTGTATAATCTAGCTGTAAACCCTGCTGCACACATCATGGTAACGTGTAGCTGCTGTGGGGGCTGCGGTAAAACGGGTGTCTGGTGCTTGAAACTTGCTGATACTGGGACTAAGGCTTAACCATGCTGCCTCAGTCTGATTCAGCCAGGCTGCTGGTGATCACAGCAGGATTACCTATCTTCATATGAGCACCAGAACTCCATTCTATTTGGAGATAAGGGCAGTGGTCATGCAAGTTTATGCAATATTAACATAATACTGTATATAATCATTCTACATTCAAGTTATATATTGTTTCCTTACCATGTCCGGTGCTTGTATCCATGTGCAGAGTTTGGGTACCAGAATTAAAGAGTTTGTTACATGTATGACACTAAATTATTACCCAGACACCCTGAGACAAAACAAGAATGGGAATACACCGTGCAATGACTGACAATGATTCACATTAGTATTAATGTTATTTCTGAATCACATAAAAAGCCAACTGCACTGCTTAAATTGTTACTCTGCAGTTCATTAAGCACATCGTCGAAAGCGCATTAGATCATGGCCTATTAAGCTGGCGGGCGCTTGATTGTCAAATGCTGAAATTTGTAGCTCTCTCTGCATTCATATTTCTGTTGAATTGGAAAATACACATCTTCGAAACTTTTGTCCTTGCTGAGGTTGAAAGTGGATGTAATTACCTGCCAAGATGCAGCGTCATAGCTGGAATGGCAGTCTAGACAAGAAGTGCTTATGTCTAAGATATTCACAGCTGAGCTTCACCCTGTTCATGGTCAAAAGCATTTGAACTGTTGGATCTGTGTTACCTCTCTGTTTTCAACTGAATTTCTTCTGTTGTAAAGGGACTGCTATAGATTGGCATAGACTAAAATAATATATTTGACATATGTTTCTAAAGCAGTGTACCTCAGAATGCATGATGGTGGTTATAAAGCAATATTTCAGCAATGATTTTTACACTATAAGTTAAAGTCTTCAAGAATAGTTATTATGATAGATTTCACTGCTCATTATCTATAGCACATAGAAGTTGTGTAGTTTTCCACACCTAATTATAATTGACCACAGAGACTCGTATCTACCAGAGAGTTCATGGTCCAGTGTGAATCTGCTTGGCATGAAAATACTGGGGAGCAACTGCTCTATATAATTGGATACCTATGAATATACAGTGTGTTTAATGACTAGTGATCCCCACAGGGAAAGTGTCTTTCTGCATGGCTACACCACCAGGGAGGTAAGGCATACAGATTATCACCCATAGAGGTCGTCTGGATTTGGAGGTTTTCAGTATTGTTACTCTCCTGGATCACTTTGTCTCCTTTTGGGACTGGTGTTCAAATATTCAGGAGGCATCAGTTACTGGCCACGTCTATTTTTTGTAATAAATAAATAAAAAATCTAATCATCCCTGCTTTACTTCTTTCATCCTAATTTCTCAACTTCTTTAAGTTGTGTCTCACTGAAAAAGACCTCAGGTGGTGCTGTTGTCCTGACAACCAATGAGGGGAGTATCACAGTCAGACGGGTTGGATAATCTGAGAGCAAAGAGAGGTGGTGGTTGTAGCAGGGAGGGGAGGGTGGTGTATTTCCCAGACTGAATAGAAGCGTGCCTTTCTCCACTGCCGTGCTGGCTGTGCCGTTCCTTTACGCGGAGAGCATTGCGCATCAGTGGACTATAGAGCGAGGACCCCGCACAGTACCGCGCGTTTTCCTCCATAAAGCATTTTAGGCAACACGTATCGCCCATTCATTCCGGACTGCTGTGGACCTAAAGGCATCCTACATTTTCCAAGAAGTCTGGACAACTACTCTTCTTCTTCCTCCTTCCTTTTTTATACCCTTGGATATAGCTCCCGAAGCGCTTGGTTCTGTGCTTTAAAATGCAAGCCCGACGCAAATCGTGTTGGAGGCAATTGCAGGCTTCTTTTTTCAGACTGCTGTGTCTTATCCCCACAGGATTCCCCGTCCGGAGTGTGGATATGCAGCGGGCCACCGACAACATCACCATCCGACAGGGCGACACAGCGATTATAAGGTAAGACTCATCTTCCAACTTTGCTCCCCTCCCGTCTCCCCCTGGATCCACAGCAGCATCAGCACCGCGAGCAGGCAGCTGCTTGCTTCAGATCGCAGTGCCAGAGGTGCAAGATTAATTTTAATTTGTTCAGTTTGTCTCGATTTTTCCGTTCGTTGAACTTGTATTCCTCACAAGGTACCAGAGAAGTAGATGTTTGGATTCGAGTTGATCTGCTTGGGGTTTAAACTTTTATCTCTCGAGCCAGTCCTGAAAAAAAATTCCGTGTAGTAATTTTGGAATAGGCTGTAATCCAGTCCTGCGTTTTGCAGCACTGACTTTTTGCTCGTCCATCACTCCCTTTTCTTTCTGTCTTTTACTAAATTCAAGAATCTCGTGATGAGGCGAAGTGCGTCATTGTCCAGAGATGTGTGGATTCATGGCAAACACGGGGATTCTGAACACAGGCAGGATGATGGGAGACAGAGATCAGTTTAGATTTTACGAATCACTCTTGAGGTGTTTAGAAAAGGATAAGCGCAGCTTTCACGGGACAAGTAGCGAGGTGTCATCAGTGTCAGTCAGCTGCAGCTCCATGAATATTAAAGATCCAGTCAGCAAATTTAGTTTTGTCTGTTATGTGAGGTCATGTTTTTTACCAGCTTATTCGCTGATCACTTCCTAGACAACGCAAGCTGTCAAGTCTTTGGTATTGTGATACTGCTGAGCAGATGTCGATGGCCACGTGACCCGAGCCATGTGTTTGTGGCAGGCTATAAATGCACAGGGATTTACATTTGGTAGATTTTTGTAAACAAGGCGCTTTGCGCACCCCCCATCAGGGCCATTGATATAACAACCACAAACCCCCCCCCCCCCCCCCCCCCCCCGACGTTCATGTGGGAATATAGATTTACACCTTGGGTTACACCTTTAACCCTACCTGTCAAAAAGTCAGCAGACAAATGACTGCTCATGCACGAATGCCTACATGCACACAAAAAGGGATAAGTCCCTTTAATTGATTCCTTCTTGCAAACAGGTGCCATCCATTTAGGTACCTGCTGGTCAAATTAGTCAATTGATTCAGTTACTGTAGAACTCACCAGGGGTCACAGCTATTTGTTTCACTTTCCAGATCTAATTGACTGCATTTTATATTCAGCCCTTTAGTCACCCACTCCCTCTATTCCCTTTAAAGGTGATGGCAAGGCTTTGCACTCAGCCAGAGCCATCCTTTGTCCACTGTTTTAGCATTATCCCTGATAAAAGAACTGAGGTGATCACACAGTGAGCGCCATGATTAATTTGATGCTCATAATGTATCTTGGTGGCATTAGTGATCAGTCTTATTTATTGTCACTCGCACCACAATAAACCGCACCTCAGACCCCTGTGGCTCCAGTGAAAAACAGAACCATTTTTCACACCCAGTTTCCATCTGACAAATTGGATACAGGGGGCATGGAGGGAAAAAACAATGAGGGCTAAAATGCAAGAACTTTGAGCAGAGGTGGGAGGCCATCGGCTAGTAATTTGTCGAGCTATGCAGTGTTTCTGATTCCATAAGCTGGGTTTTGTGATGGCTGACGGGATATTGGTGACCTCAGGGTGTAATAAGGCCTGTTCTCCTTTAGTGGAGCCCGTGGTTGCAGTTGTGACATTCATGGCACAAGAGGAGCAATGCTGGAGTAGAGAAACAGTGCGTGGCCAAACAACCACTGTGACAGAACACACACACACAGCAGCGAGACTCACTGCTGAAATGAAAAAGGAAATTTATTTTTTTACCAAGGGCCAAGAACTGTGTCATGCTGAATAAATAAGCAAACTAAAGTCTTTCTCTTTAGGCGTAAAACTTTCAGATTTTCATCACTACTATGGCTCACAGTTAGAGCCTGTGTCAGATGTATATATTTCAGTTTTATAACATCTATGAATGAATTGATGTCATGAAAATGCATCACTTCCATCTTGTGTAGGGCATTTTTAAACCTGCATTTAAAGGAGGAAGATGTATAAAAATCATAATGGAAAATACTCCAGATTTATAGCAGACTGAATTATTAATAAGAAATCAGTTTTTTTTAGATTTATTCAAATATCTGTCAATACTTTGTGACATATAGAATGTTTTTGTCAGTACAGTATGTTTTGTCATTGTTCACAGAATGGCATTATCCCTCAGACTCCATCAAAAGTGAACATAAACTAAATATCAATAGATACTGTATCTCCACCAAGTGTTTGGTGCCTATAGGGAGCAGCAGTGAATTTAAATAGATTTTCATTAGCCCCTGTCTTTTGTCTCACAAGACAGAGATTTAGTGGTACTGCAGCAAGTTCTCTTTTAAGTCAGTGTCATTTGTATAGATGTGGCTACTCTTAACCATCAAACCTTTTGCCTAAGCAGGGCATCAAGGAGTTAATGTGAAAGAGATGACTTTTTCTGAAGTGAGTCACTGTGTAGTGCTGGATTAGATAAACATTTTCACACCATTATTTGTAGTATGAAGTGAAACGTGGCTCATTTTAATTCACAGTGGGCTGTAGGATTAACCTCTAGTAATACATGGTAAGGGGTTGCAGTATAGTTTCTTAGTATCCTTGGTATATTTTAATGACCTGGTGGCTCTTTGCTGAGGTCAGACCTTGTAGAGGTCTTTCTTTGGTCCTCATGTGGTGGTCTTACTCTTAAAGGATAGATTTGGTATCTTTCAAGTTGGTCTGAAAACAGTATTGATTTGACCGTGCAGTATACACATGTGGCTGTAGGTCATAGTTTCTGTAACTTTTCCTATTGTTCATACCGGCCCTGAAGGTTGTCATCTGGAATGCAATATGCTGTTAAAATAAAAATACTAATAAGAAGAAGAAGAATTTAAAAAATATAAATACAGTCCTCATGCTGTGCAAAGTGTATCTGAGGCTCGAATACATCTTCAGCTGTCCTAAGTTTTTTTCAAGTTAGTATCTTTCAAAGTTATAGTCTACTTAAGAATAATATCCCTCTATTTGCTCCCTTGAAAGACGTTTTTTGCCGAGGGATTCATTCTAGTAGTCATATGTGGGTTCTGTTACTGGAACCGCTATTTTACTCAGGTAAATGGATAATCAATATCACCTCTTTTGGTTATAATATGCCGCTGGGAGATCTCTTGGCATATTCTAACATTTGTTTCTAGAGAGCTGAGTCAAAGAATGTCATGTTACAGCGTAGGTGAGCTGCTGACTGTGATCAGGTTGGCCTTTTTAGGAACATTATCTTGCACACAGATATAAATAAAACTATGTATTTATCTGCACTTACCCCCTTGTCAGCTGTTCCTACTTTGTCCTTTCAGAATGTTTCAGGGGAAATCTGCGGGACGCTTTTGGCCATCATTTGTTTTTTGAGAGCACCTTAGATAAATACAGACACAAACCATGTTCTGCTTCATATAAGGCACAAATGTGTCAGGAATAGACTGGAGAAAATTGCTGGAGCAACACTGAGATATCACACTCAGGTTTTATTTGTGTCCAAAACCCATAAAATTAAAAACACTGCAGCTATCAAATATACAAAGTTACAAATTATTTCTCAGGTTAAGCCTGGGTGCAACTTGAGAAGTAAACACTGGTTTACAACTACAACAACAACAACAAACACACCTACAAGAATGTGTCCATCTGCCACAGATTGGGAAGGAACACTTTCCTGGCCAAACAAAACAGGGAAATTTGTTTTAAATAGACTGTAACTTTGAAAGATGCCAATTCAACATAGCTTAGTGGGACAGTTGAAGCTTCATTTGAGTCCCAGATTACCTTCGGTGTGCATTTTTGCACAGAATGAGGGCTGTTTGTCACATTCTGGGTAAAAAAAACAACCTCTAGGCTTGGTGTGAAAAGCAGGAAAAGTTACAACGACTAAGATCTGTTCTCACATGCCTATGAGCATGTCAATGTTGTTTTAAGGCCAACTAAAAAGAAACCCTATCCTTTAAGGGGGATGTTTTTGAACTTTTGTATCTGCTTGAAGTTCATTAAATTTTGGCCTATACCCCAGCAGTCATGTCAGGTCAGTGAGAAACACCTTGTATTTCAGTCCTCATCCATGGTGCCTTAGTCTGTTCTTTACAAGGATGACGCCAACAACTGAAATCAAATTCCTCTCACCCTGACTAAAGGAGAAAAAGTTTCCCCCACATTTCTTCAAGCCATTTTTGTGTCACAATAGTTTACTTTTTAATTGCTTTTTTTAGTTACATGCTGCGCAGTAGCCTTAAGGGGAAGGTTGCAATGTCAGGCAAAGGCTTGATAACTGACAATTGCTTATTAGAGCATTAATGACATAGTCTCAGTTGCTCTCCTTGTGGTCAATTATCTGCACTTTGACAATGCATTCTGCCTGCCTCGTTACTTTCAGGGATGATGATTCTGCACTTGTGCTTTACCCCAGAGGATGTTCAGTACAAGTTACCCCAGAATTCTGCTTTCATTTCAGTCAGCCTGATATTATGTATGTGAAATCTGCTAGAGGCTCAAACACTAAATAAGACATGGTGTTAGTCTAGTTCGAGTTCCAATACAATCCATAGTGCTGGTGAATACAGTTATTTTCATTTACATTATTAAAACCTCATCTATTGAACTGTGGTGGTTTTGAGTGTGGTGGTGTGCATTAGACAAACTCCAAAGAATGCACTTTTGCAACACAGAAACAAAGGCTTTCCTTATGTTGGAATTTATCTGACGTACTCGGCATATCCCACTTTCAAAAGGTTGTGCATTTCCAAACTACACTTGGCACTAATCCTACAGCGCCTGTATACTCGGCATATCCCACTTTAAAAAGGTTGTGTATTTCCAAACTCCACTTGGCACTAATCCTACAGCGCCTGTATTGAAAGAATACAGTAAATCTACCCTATATGTCTTCTTTGGATGTGGCAGAATACGTATTTCTGTCCAGCTTTTCCAAGATTTTGGAAATGTCTCTCCCTCTGGATGAACTGATGTCTGTGCCCTGATGTAGG